ATACAGATCAATTCGTTCTACGATTGTCGTAAATGTTATCTGAATAAACAATTTAGTGGATGATTGGGGTATACAGTATTATCAATCGTGCCCAGGAATTCTTGTCAGCGCGTGAAACGTCGAAACAAATCATAGACTTGCTATAAACTTTTGTATTCGGATGATCACGTCAATTTTTAAAAATTAAAAAGTAGAATATTATATCTGTCGTGTCTGTGTGTTAGCTAAGCTGTCATACATGCGGGATTGTAAAGGACATATTTCCCCTGAAGGGTTTTGAATCACCGAACCGCAGACTATGTCGCGAGGCCTTCGACTTTTATTTAAAACTCGCTCAAAGCAACAGACGTTTCCAATATTTGCGCCGTTATTAATATTCATGTACCACGATATACATTTAAGAAAAGCTCGTATGGTTATAATTGATTTCTTATAATATAGCTGACCAATGTTTGGCCGTAGACCTGCCTGGAAATCATCGAGATTTTCGCTCTTCATCATCGATACCCAGTAGTAACATCAGAGGGAATCACTTTCTTAGTCGGCTGTGAGTCCTTGCTCTCGACTAATTCGGACAAAAGTCCAAATCATGGGCCGCTATTTTGAAACAGTCTCGTCTGCGCATGCCCGACACATCATCATTGGTCGATAGTGCTATCTCCCTAGTGAAATATCAAGTTTCGATTTTTATATTGTCATGTGACTGCGTATTTGTCAATAACTGCACAGAATTTGAGTGTTAGGTAATATAAAATGTATAATATTATGAGCTTTTGCATTTGCGCCGACGTTACGAAGTATTCATTTTCCTGGAAAGTCGTTGTTTTATTCAGTTCTGTTTTGGCCTGAATGGACATAGTGCCATTTTGCTCTGTGTGTGCGCGTCATATGTAAACGGAACGGCTTCTAAAAACGATCGCACAGATACTGTTAACAAAATCATAATTAAACTTTAATTATAGGATAGAATATTCAATCAAAATTCAAAAAGTAAAAAGTGTGCTGAAATGAGTATTTAAACAAATTTAAATCGAGAAACTTCTGTAAGTTAACAATACGCTTTTCGGGTCGCCGAATCTGTATATCGACCGGACTCAACATTTTATTTTTCGTACTAGCTGCTCCGCGATAATTGCTTAACGCCAGCTTACGTGTTACTAATGACTTGATACAAGATGTATCAACATCGCAACTGTAATGTCTCGTGAAATGAAAAAAAAAATAAACTATTGTGTCATGTGAAAGTAACATTTTCATGAATTGTTAAACCACATGTATTTTTCTCCCATGCGGATTGTATCGCGTTATAAATATAAAATACCTACCCTAATCATTGCCAGTAGATTTAATGGTAGGTAGCTGAATATTGGATGCTCCTCGTCACTGCGTCTACGGCGGAGTCAGGGGAATGTGTAGTTCGACTCAAATAGTCGAAACACATTATATTGTATCTTGGCAAAACTGAATCACAACCTTAGGCATTCCAAAAGCGCTTTCTCTTAAAACTTTGCTGCCATCTGTTCCTATGGCAACTGCATAACGGATTTCTTAACGTCTTGCGTTTCACTATAAGCCGAAAATATGGCTCCGGGGGCGTCATGAGTTTCTAAATTGAAACCGTCTCGGCTCTTTCTATTTGTTTGCGAAAACGGTGATTGGAAAGAAGGTAGCTCAATACTGCCAGCGGTTCAATCAAGTCCAAATAAATAGTCCCGATTCATTTCTTTATTTTTAATTATGAATATAATGTAGACGCTTTCTAGTAAACGTCAATATATCAAATTATTCAAAATACTAATTAACAACATTTGTTCATATTGCATACACATTTCACATCATAATTACCATGTGTATCAATGCGCGGGGTCACAGGTGCACACATTTAATCTATCTATCCTGAAAACAACTGTTTGCAAAAGATGACATCTTCGTATTGCTGAATAGTTTAATCGTTATTTTTCAGCAAAGAACAGTTTTTAAATGGTAGGCAGGCTTATTTAGGTTAATGTCATCCTAGCCAAATTGTGTTAAATTTGGCCTACATAAATAAGCATTGAAAGGGCCTCTTTTGTTAAGATGGCTGGAATATTTAATCGTTTTAAAGGAATATTAAGCATATATTTTGCCGGGGAGTATAAGTTTATGTCAGTGTATCAAATCATAAAATATCTCAAACTACTTAAATTGATCTTGTTCATTAATAGCCACCAAGATCTCATTGACAGCGAGGGAGCAGCGAGATTGCCCCCGCCCCATCGTTCAATTCTCTAACCTCATCGCGTCTACTGTATCACTGGTTCCCGGCGTCCCTTGCGAATGACAAGTAGGACGCAGGTAACTAGTAATCGCCATACTGTTCCTCTGGGCCGGGATTCCAGCTTAAAGTTACATGTAAAGTCTTCATTACACCATGCCTGACCCTGAAGCCTTTCTCTGTCAATTTATGTCAAGGGCAAATGATATTTTTAGACAAAATTGGAGAGCAGAGGTGTGTACAAAAGACAAACTACGTACATATTGTAATTTCAAAGTGCTATTCCAGAGGGAAGATTATTTATTATTTATTATTTATTAGTAATGTTAAATTGAGAAGAACATTATCATGCTTTAGATGTTCCAGTCATGTATTGGCAATAGAGGGCGGCAGGGTCATGGGGCTTGACATTGATTATAGACTTTGTCAAGTCTGTGACATGATGGAAGTAGAGGACGAATATCATTTCATTATGATATGTCCTCTGTATGAGACGCTTAGAAATCGGCTCATTCCCTTTTGGTCTTATACAAATCCATCTGTAAATAAGTTTTATTCTTTAATGTCATGTAATTCATTTGAAATTATTAGTAACTTAGCTGTTTTTATACAAAATGCATTTAAGTTGAGACAAGATGTACTTGACTATTGACCAAAGATTTGTTGCATCAGTATTGTAATAAGCAAAAGGGACCAGTGGCCTATAAGAGCAAATGATATATATATATATTATTACACCATGCCCATACATTCTGCCTGCTTAGACTTACACATTTGAGATGTTTCTGGCATTTCTCGCTGTTTCTGTGCAAATTTATAATAAAAGAATGATCGGTTTTATATTCATTCGCCCAACTTTCGAGAGTACAAGGAAACCCCTGCTCCAAGGCCACGAGCGTGAGCGCTGACGTCAGATAACCAAGAGAAATAGAACAAGCAACAAGAAAGTGTTGCCGGAACCGTTACCGGCCGCTTGTGGCTTGGCACGCCATGACACTTGGGGCGGGAACCAGCCAAGTCTACTGTTGAAACATTGTGGGCGGAACAAGTCGCGTGCCTCTCGTGGCTCTCAGTGAGATCTCGGCGGCCATTTTTGAATTAGGTTCTTACATAACGAAATATTATTCATTTTGCCTCATTTGATCTGTAAACTGTTTCACAATAAACCTGGTTAGTTGGAGATCGAAGGTCAAGTACAGTTCAACTGATTTTCATATGGTCAACCCTGACAGTTCTCCTGAATATTTGAGCGCTGTGTCCTGGTAAAAATTCTATTTCTGAATCTCCTATTAGACTATGATGAATTGATATATGATTTGAGGGATGTGGTTAGGGGCAGGATATGAAGTGGCATTGCTGATACTGTTATTGTTAATATTATATAACTAAAGAAAAAAAATGAGTGAAATTTGCTAAAAACACGTGTAAATTATTCAGCAAGATATTGCGTCTGAATATGCAAATATGCTCTTGTCGTGTGCGACAAATTCGTGATACCATTGTTGCAGTAGAGAATACTTAACGTTGTATAATATAAAGACGTGTTTGCGTGAAATATTAACACTACTCTAACATATTGACAGTTGTATTTAAATGGTATTATTTGACTTGCAAATGCAGCTTCTCTCCAGTGGTCGTATTCATTACGCAGCATTGTTTGTGGGCAATAATCGCTCTAACCTACGCCTAGTGTCAGCTATTCTTTTAATTTTTGCGTTTGTATTTTTGTTTACTTGCAGGTTTCCATGTTTGCAGAGAGGGTCATCTGTCATCTCATTTCCAGATCAGTATTCATATATAAATGATGGCGAGGTCGTACAAACACGCGCCTAATTCCGAGGCTCTGATGAAAACTGTTGTTAAAGCCTGTGTTTACGAAAAAGCTGATGTGTTGGAGACTTTATTGGTCAGAGGTAAAATCACCGCTAACATGAACATCCCGTTTACAATTATTGAGAATCTGGAAAAATATTTTCAGTACAGACGAGGAAAAAAGTTAACGAGAGCAACCCCTCTCCAAGTGTCTGCAAAACTTGGTAGCCCGCAGTGCATGCGTGTTCTGATTAGGCATGGGGCTGAACTCGACATTGATGTGCCTTATTTTTCGCCGATGACGATTCTTTGCCGATCCCTTCCGAAGAGTCCGGAATTTATGGGACGATTCGGGCAATGTATTACAATACTCGTTAACGCGGGTGCCGATTTGCACCATCTGTGCGCGAATGCTGGTAATTTCATCGACGAATATTCAATCTTGCATTTGTTGGTACGAAACGGGATGGACCCTAAAGTTGTGGAGATTGTCGTGTCACATGGTGTTAGACTCAACTTTCCCGATTTTAACGGATGTGTTCCATTACATTATGCAGCGACTTTGCAAGGGCGTGTGGTAGCACCGTACGTGGAGGCCCTGCTGAAGTTAGGTGCTAATCCGAACAAACAGGATTCAAACGGAAAAAGTCCCATGTTACTATTTGCTGAGTGCCAGGACTCCGAACTGGCACTGGCAAGAATGTACGAACGCAGTGGGAATCCAAGCATCGCTGACAAGAACGGTCAAAATGCTCTACACCTCGCTTGCAAACAACTCAAGTTAAGAAATATAAGTTTTCTAGTTGAAAAAATTGCTGACGTTAACTCTAAAGATTTAGAGCATAAAACGGCCGCGGATTTATTGTTTTTTAACATAAACCAGTGGAGAGCGGGGTACAACGAATCCGATCTCATTAGCTGTGTGATGAAATTGCTGGGCCACGGAGGCATTGTATCGATTGGCGTTGTACAGCACCAGCTTATCCAGTACTTACGAATCAATGACCAGAACTTCCATCTCCCGTACCCTCTCGCAATTTTAGACATGGTAGTGAACATTCATCCATTTATCAATCTCTGTAGCGTCAAGCACAAACTTGCCCACTTGAACCACACTTTACCTGACGACGTCCGTCGGTTTTTTGAACGGCTCTGTTCCTGGAATGGACCACGCTCGCTGCAGCACCTTAGTCGCTGCGTGATTCGAAAGTGTTTAGGGCGGCGATGTGGCGAAGCAGTCCACAGATTAAGTCTGCCGAAGGAGCTTCATGCATATTTGAGTTTATGCTATAATCCAGACGTTAATTAGTGTATTGAACTTGCATACTTTTAACTCTTGTTATGTCCCATCAGATGCCGAGTGACATATTTACAGTGGTCACGCCATTTTTAAATAACATTCCAAACATCCGACGTAATTACATCAATATATATATTAGCACGAGTCCATTGTCCTGCCAGGGCGCGGCTCGCCGAGGTGGGGGGGGGGGTTGCTATTCGCATGTCACGCTCACGCATGTTGATACTTAAAGCGCGGTGGTCGTCGCGCAGCGCGTGTTCGAATTTCATGTAAACAAACAATGTATTTTACACGCTTTGTATACGTCGCTATGAGTTCCATATCAAACAGAACGCGGCGACCACCGCTCTCTAATACATAATTTGCATGCATTCGTCTTTTTCATCGTTCGACGCAAATAACAAATCGTTTACGAAATACCAGCTGCAAAAAACGATTCATTGAGTGTAAGTGACTATTATATATCGTAATTATGTATACACTTTTATGAAATTCAAAAACGTTGTCACACGCGATGGTCGTTGATCAATTGCAAAATACTAGATTAGTGTTACAAAAACTTCATCAAGTTAGGCGTCATGTTAATGAAAAGAATATACTGAATCATAATTATTGTACAAATATGTTGGTATAACATTACACAATAAATAACTGCGTTTCATGGGGATATAGAAAGTATGTTTGAGTGATGTTTTCGTATAAATGTACGATTTAGATGAGAGTCACAGGCGACATATATATTCCCACTGCACTGAGAATGAGGAATTCGTTGGTTGTTTTCACCGATTTTTCAACAAATTTCAAAGTTTTTAAAACTTACCCTGTCAGCCACTTTACCTTGTATATATATATATATATATATGTATATATATATATATATATATATATATATATATATATATATATGTTTACATTGACTTGACCAGATAAGGATTAAAACAAATATTTGTTTTCTTATAACGAGAGGCACAATTAGTCATTTTTACATTATATTTACTATTTACTGACATACACCGGGTAATATGACGTAACACTATATGCCTTTACAGATTACAGCATATAATCCACGGTATTTATGATAGCCGTGGTACAAGCGCATTTACGAACACATTAAATTCTTTTCTATTGCAATAGGAATGTGGCTACTTTTCAGCAATGTGCACTAAATAGGTATACTCTGTGTTCAAGAGACGACCTACATGCACCGGGATTTGGTATTCATATTCATATGTCATTGCTGGACACATATCGCTTAGGCATAAATGTTTTGATTTGTTGTTATGCATTCATTTTGAAATAATTTTACAGAAGATTGTACATTATTTGGAAAACGATGCGATTTGTTAATTATGTGTATTTGTTCATGAATTTGTGGGGTTTATGGGTAGTTAATTTATTTCAGGTTGTGGCTGTTTATAACCAAATTCATTCAATTAATAAATTAAGAAGGAAAGAAAAGAAAAACAATAATGATTTTATTTTGTTGTTCACTCGTGCCCGTATGAGACCAAAATGCATTCAATCACTTTAGTGTGTTCGAAAGCGTGTCAAACGTGTACACGTGGTTCTGTTATTTGACAACGTTTGATACAGTTCATGACCAAAGTCCATTTTTGCTTGTATTTCCTTCAAAATGTCTGATGGCGGACTCAAATCAGTAGCTAATTGAAAATTCGCAAGGGATCAAAGTTTGCCTAATATTGTATCGGTTATGCGCGCATATTCGTTGCGAGCAATCATGCTGATTGTGCCAGTAATTCCCTTTTTAGAACATATAATCAGTTTAAATATAGGACCACCCATCTTTTGAATATATTTGATGAAATTGTTTGTTTCTTATCATATTATCAATAATAGGTAATCAATCTTGTTTCAAAAATGAATTATACATGTAATCTAAATTAATCAAGTTGTTGTCAATTCATGAAGAAGTGTTAGTAAATAGACGTTGATGAAGAAAGATTGCCATTAGGATATTAAGCTAGTCTATTCACTGGTCACTGATTTTCCTACAGTTTGTCCTCTGTGTACGACACGTTGCCATTTAGTATTACATAAAGGGGTTTTAGAATTTTTCATTTCCCTAAAATTTAATAAAACATGTAGCAATATGATTTGCTGTGCTTATACTTCGGACAATTCAGGGAAATGCACCGCCCACATCATGGCAGTCATAAATTCCTTATTAAAAAACGTGGACTGCTAAAACTGATATTGTTTTTAAGTATAAGGGTCTTTGCAATGTCTATCATTCGGTAAATTAATATAAATTGGACATTTAGAGAAACCAGTTATTGAGATTTGGTCCTTTATTTCAATTGTCCTTTTCATTTTTTTGCCTCAATATAATTCTTTACATTCTTCGCAAATGTTTATCCTCGTGTTTAAATCATAATTTTGGAGATACGGTCAAATGTCATTGACGAAAAACAAATATTGTAAAGCATAGGCTTTTTAAATACACAACACGGCTTTTCAAAATATACCATGCATGATTAATTGTTTTCTTAGGACCGTTAAGTCGTCTGGCATATGAACTAGTATTTCAAAATAGTCCCACGTAGGAATAAATCTATTCAAATATTGAGTTGAGTATGCCAACATAGGATTTACATTTGTTTGCAAAAATTACCTTCACAATTGTGATAATAAATTATAAAATTTTCAACAATATCCCCTTTCAAATTATTGAATAATTCACCATTATTTAAAGGTTTATTTTTACCCTCAATGTTTCCATGTATAAAAATGGAATGACAATGGGGGACATCACATACATCTTACATGTCGCATACTTAACATATTGGCCAGAAACGTTTGTATGTCCGCTGCGTTAGATTTCTATGGATTGCAACGCTCTAAATTGAGAAAAACGTAGTACTGTACGCCGAAAGAACAGGCGGGGATTGAAGCTCTCATTACAAAATGTAAACTATATACGATAACTGTAGTCGCGCAAACTGAGGGAAATTATTTCAAGGATGGACAAACACATCTGCCCGTCTTCAACCAGACATCGCAAATAATCCGGGTAGATTTTATTATAAAATTGCATGCTTCATATAACTATAAATTACCCATAATTCGCTATGATTTGTACCATTGATTTTTCTAAAACTCCTTTTTACTTGATTACAGTTTTTGACTCTATTATATTCCTGCTGTTGCATTTGTTTTTCAAATGTATGTTTTGCAAGTGTGACCAAAATGTTCTCAAAATCCGGCAAAACACAATGTATAGAGGTGCTAAAAATGCTGTCAATCTTTGGGGATTAATCGCGAACATAAGTACTTGCCCTCGTCACCTGGCAGCTAATATGCATTTCCTTATTATATAAGAAACAATCAAGTGTTATGTAAGAATTATGGTTATAAAGTTTGGTTTACTGTTGACAAAATATATTGTCAGTATAAACCTCACATGATTGTAGGTTATCATAGGCACTATGCGCTTCAGGGCTAGTACAGTAACTGCTTATTATTTTGACTTCGTGCCTCTTCTCCAAACCGGCTGTTAAATTGATAATCTATTACCCTAATTTGCATTCCACCTAATATTTGTTCCGTATAATATTGCTTGATCGTAAATTCCAAATTGACATTATTTATTCACAATTTAATGATATTACCAATGTAGTAGAATGAATGGGAGGAACTTGAAAATATACACCACAGGAAATCTTCTATAAATGTCATTTTCGACTCAAATTTTCAGGTTATATGGGATAAATAATTATATTTATTTAATACACCATAACAAGTTTAGGACACTTAATCACGTTTGTTTTAAGAACCGAGATGGAATTGGCTCGAAAACGAATGGTATATAAAAAGGATTATTTTCCGTCGAATAATAATTATATAATCTTAGTTTGGTCGGGTACTAAATGACATATCTGTTAATAGAATAGTGAAAAAACCCAACAATGCTTTGGTGAATTACTAAATGATAAGCCCTATTAATTAAAAAAAATGCACATTTTTGCGGTTCGGTATATCACGAAACGATATTTGATATGCGATTACAAAACAGGGTATGTCGGTACAAAATCACATTTTGTTCAACACGCAGTATTATTAGTTACTCATCATGCATCATGCATCATAAACGGGGATATGAACAAGAACCTACTTCAGTCTGGCGACGGCGTGTACAATGACAACTTCAAATCTTCTCGTGTAGAATTGAGAGCAGCGGCACAATTATACGTGATTTGCTTCAGTATCCACGAGCTATGATGGGCAATATCCGAGCGTCTGAGTGAATCGCAGTTGTTCAAGATACAGTTGCGATAAAACGTCCCCCAGCTATCCTCGGGTGGCGCGCGTGTTCCAGGCATTACAATGACGTCATTGTTATTTTCAAACCATTTGCAAAATTCGTGCTTGGTTGGAGGTGCATTACGTCTGAGTAAGTTTATCAATTCGTGTTCTTTGTATTACTGAATAATCTCACAATCTGATATCTGCTCTACTGAAATAGTATTCGGCTAAATCATCAACAGTGTATACAGGACATTGACTTGTGGATTGTAATAAACTGTGTTTTTAAAAGACAGCAATTTCCATTATCAAAACGTGTTTTACGAATATAGAATTTATGGGAGAGAAGATGCCATAATAAATCCTAATATCGTATGTAGATAAACAATGCCACGACTGCACGAGACGAAATGTACGCGGTCGTGCTAAAAGTTATTTTTAGAACTCATGGCGTGTTAATCCTTAACCTTTATGCAATTTATTACCAGATTACCTTGAAATATTACAGCGCTAAATCACGACTGACAATATGGGTATTTACATATTAATTGATGAGGGAAGGGAAAGTCCAATTCTGCTCTACAGCAATATAACAAATGCTCCGTCATGATGACGACCACGACCCTAAACCACCTAGCTACACGACCTACACGATTTGGTCACTTGGTTCCCCCCTCCCACATGCTTAATGACTGAATTTTATCCACGCTGAGAACGGCATTCCCCCCGGTGGTTTGTCATGTTAT